CTTTTTCTTTGTGGTGCCACTTGCTTCTGATGAGGAAATCTACATTTTCGAAAAGTTAAGGTAACTAGTCCCTTAGACTGGGATTGAATTCCCGAATTTGAGCAATAATCAAGGAAAAAAACCAAAAATAGCGACCCATCGAACCTGCGAAGCCCATTTAAGTGGAGTCGCCGGTGAACTGTTTGATGCTGCCGGCTTTCCACCAACACCACTCGAGGGTGAGACGGCGGGTAAAGGTGACTGCTTAACCGACTTGGTCACCTCGACTTTGGCTGAAGTCCTTACCAATGTCGCTGCCTTCTCTATCCAACAACTTTTTGTAGGTTTCGCAGTAGATGATTGTGGTTGCTCCGGAGCTGAGGCCAATCTTCGACCTCCCGCGGAGCCGGAGTTGAACTGAAGAGATTCGCTAGACAAAGCACACCCGCCGCCAGATCCTGACGACGTTGAACAGCTAGAACAGCCTGATTGAGAGACGGCACGTTGAGACTGCTGACTGTCATTGTTACCGTCTACGCCCTCAGATTTACCAACAGCGTGAGAGTTTTTTTGTTTTTGTGAGGATTTCCTCGAGGTGATGACGGCATTCGTATTCTGCATCGATTTGACTTCGGATTTAGAGGTACCATTATCCAAACTTCTTTCACCAGCTGATTTGTGTCGGATCCTGTTTGGGTAAGAAGAGTACAGCGTGGAAGTCAGAGAAACAATGCTAACGCCAAAAGAACAAAAAAGAGCCCGCCCAAAATCCAAAAAAGTGAGAAATGGAATACAACAATGCAGTCTTCAATGATATAACCTTAATTACAAGTGCAGTAGTTTTATGGTCTTATTCATATTAAAAACCTCCGAAATGGAAACAAGTAAATACCCCAGTTCCATAAAGGAATAACTATTAATTTGAAACATGGAAGTAAATAGTATTCAAAGACCTCATGAATTACTGATGATAGCTAAATATAGACCCTTTGGAAGAGCGACTGACTAGTCAACAGGTCAGCATAGGTTCACTTTAAAAATTCAAAAATACTCACGCTTTGGGTGAGCGACTTTCAGCACTGATACCGGAGACAGACTGAAAAGGAGTGTTGTCATCGGAAGAGGGTGCCCCCACAGCATCGCCTTCCCGAGCGATGTCATTCACAAACCCACTGCTACATGGATCAGAAGTCGCCGGCGTGGAAGCCAGGAATACACCATCCATGCATTGCCGAGTCGATAAGTGCTGCTGTTGTAGTTGTTGAGAAAGCAGCTGGGACTGCGATGGTTGAGGCGGTGTCCAAGAGATACCCAGACCAGGATTATTGAATGCAATTACGTTGCTCATCTGCAAAAATAATATGCGTTTAAAATCAATGAGGAAGGGAATAAATACAAAGTTATAAGCAACTGACTGGAAGAAAAGCGCATCTTTCAAAGTGTGGACACGTACAGTCACAGGAAAACACAATCTTTCAGTGGTGTAATAGCTGTGTTTATGAAACCGTGAGATTGTGCAATTTTAACACAGCAGAAGCGAATCAAGTGATCGAGATAGTTCACAAACGATCAGTGCATAATTT